GATATATAAGATAAGGAATTCATATTTTTGAAATATATTTTATTATTAACTGATTTATAATTAAAATAAAACAATATAAATAATCTATTACAAATTATATATTATTGAAAAGGCCTCGAAAAACTGTTTTTTTTTTGAATTGCAGATAGTTTATTTTATATTAATAAATCTTTAAGAGATTTTAATAAATCGAGAAACCATTCTAGTGCCTTATATATTTAAGTTGATAATCTATTGCCTTTTTGGTATCAAATATATTATATAATTACATAAAACTATTTTAGTAAATATGAGTTTTCTAGGGGCTAATATTGTTTTCAAGCTTGTTGATTTTCTATAATATCTGGTGTCTAGTATTTGCCAATCTTATGATAAGCTATTAATATTTATGTATATAGGTTTATTTCAAGTAGAGTTTATGGATAAAATTTGTAAAAAGCTTAAAAAGCAGTATGAAAAGAAAAATAATGAAATGCCTTTATTATTTATTCCTTTATAATAAGCTTTAAATAAAGGGTAATTTTTAAGTTCTAATAGTTTTTAATTTGATAGTTTTATTTATTCTGTTTTTTTTATTGTATGTTTTATTAATATAATCTTTATATTTATTTAATTAGATATTAATATTATATTTTTCAATATCTTTGTCTTATTTGATATTAATAATATATGAATATGAATGATATTTATTTATTAGCCTTAGGTATGTGAATAAAGAATATAAGTATATAATGATTGGCTAGTAAGAAATGATGAGTGAGAAATGGCTAATGAGAAATGGCTAATAAAAAACGATTAATAAAAAAACTATAAAGTTTAGTCTTTTAAGGTATAATATCCATTAATAATAAGAGTTGTTAGCTTTATTATTTTTTAAAGAAAAAGGCTATCTGTATCTTTAATAGTTTGTTTTTTTTGTATAAAATGTATAATGTTGTAGTATTATAAATTAAATCAATAATCTACTTAATTGATAAATAGAAAGGATAGAAAATGTACTCTCAAATAAGTACTCATAAAGAATTCAGTTGTTTTTTGAATTACTACAAAAACAGTAGCATTCCACTTTCAATATTTTTTATCAAATACAAATTGATCCAAAACCTTTTTAATTAAATGTTGAAAAGAAGCTTTTTTCAAGAAAAATTTGGTTGATTTTTGATATTTTTTAATTTCTTATAATGTAATTGCTATATTTAATTAGTAAGAAAAAAGCTTATAAATCAAGAAAAGGTTTATTTACTCCCTGCTTTCCATTAGTGAGCTCTTTTAGCAATTTCTGCTTTTCCTTTTTTAGGCTGCTTTCTTACACTTTGAATCTTTGCTTTCGAAGCTTTCTTTATACTCTTATTTTTAAAAAAGGTGATTTTTTATCTATACCTAGTTTTTATTTATTTGTTAATCTTTTTCTGATATTAATATATAATATAGCTTCTCTATGTAGTGTGTTTATAGTTTATATTATAGCTATAGGATTTTCTGGAATGTAGTGTTTTCAAGACCTAGATTTGAATCATTTCAGTTTATTGTAGAAAAGGTTTCAAATATTTAAGGGGTGCATATCTAAAAAGCTTCAAGAATGGGAGTGAAAGGAATAAGTATTGAAAAATTAAATGTTTAGAAATATGTGTTTATGAATTAATGTATTATGTATCGCATAATTTAATTAATTATACTATTTATTTCTTATAGAATATAGTTATTTTGAATATAAAAATATTACAAATAGTACAAATAATATATTTTTAGGAATAATAATAATAATAATAATAATAAGCGTTTATATTTATAATATTGAATTTTTTCTAAACTTCAAAAATCAAAAAATACTAGTAGTAATTAAATCTAATAAGAAAAGCTATAGGGAAAGTAAAAAGAATATTTGTAAAAACGAAAAGCTAGAAATACATACAATCGAAAGACAAGAATGATATTTAAAAAATTAGAAATCGAAAAAGAAAAAGATAGAAAAAAGTATCAGATTTCCTATACTTTAAAAATGCTTTATAAAACTTCTGATTTTTTAAAGATATTGAAAAATAAATAAAATAAAATAATTATATAAATTCAATTGAATATCGAAATACAATAATCCCAATACATAAATCCAAATGAAAATCTGATTTTAATTAATTTTATTTAGAAAAGCATTAAAGACAAAAAACCTTATTCAAAATAATGATAATTTTGTATCAAAATCTGAATCAAATGATTTCGAAATAGATTTTGAGGGTTGGGAAATCGATATTAACGAGAAAGAGGAAAAGGAAAAAGAGGAATCTGATGATAAAGAAGAGAATAATAAAATTAGAAAACTTGAAAAGATTGATTTGAAAGATTTGAATATCAATTAAGAATTAAAATAAGTATGAAGATATAATATTTATTAGTTTTATAAATACTAATATATAAGTTTAGACAGTTAGACTTTTTGGGATTTTGATTTGGATTAAAGCTTGGAAAGCTAGTGTAGAGCAGTTTATGACTAATTTAAAGAGTCTAAACGAAAAAATTGATGAAGAATCTTCGGATTTTTTATGGGTGAAAGATTTGTTTGGGTAGGTTTATTTGATTTTTTTTTACTAGTTATTTCTTTCTAGTTATTTTTCACTTACTATTTTTTATTTATTATTATATCAAATTATTAATATATTAATAAAGTATATTTGTATTCTAATAAATTTTTTTATAAAATATTTAGTTATCGATAATGTGCTGTTTAAAGAAATCTTACTTCTTGGAGTTTTGATATTTTGAAATTAAAGAGAGAGAGTGATATCAAGCTTCTTGAATTTAAAGAATAATGGACTTTTAATAAAAGCTATAATCTAAAAAGATATGGATTTTGGATTTTTAAAATAAGATGAGATATAAACAAGCTTGGAATCTATTTCATTATATAAAATGGAAAGAAAATCTTTTTCAATTTCTTAAAGAATTCAAAGAAACACTAGAAGTTATGGTAAAAGATAATAATAAATAAAGAAATCCTAATAATTACTTTTTATTCTAATTATATGTACTTATCAAAATTCTATTTCAATATAGTATTGCTTTCTTTTTCTTATATTTTTCGAATTCTTTTTATTTTGTAATAATCTCTTTATATAGCTTTTATAATTCTTTGTCGAAAGTAGTTTATAGATTATAATAAAATAGAGTTTAATTTGTTATTACTTAAATTTATTATTATATTATCTATAATGCTTGAAATACAATCAATGATATAATCAAATTGAACTTTGAATGGATTTTCTTTAAAGCTATTTTATTAAATAAAATTATATAAAGTGTATAAAGTATAAACTATATGTATTTAAATTATCTATAAATATTTTTATTATTATATTAAAAAATAGAAAAGTGTATTTGAATATTTCAAAAATTCTCTTAACCTTATTTCGTAAAGAAGAGTAAAGAAGATTATTGAAGATAAAAAGCTCTTTTGGTATTTTGGGTATCTTATTGGATTTCCAATTGTTTTTGTAAATGCTATTTTACCCTTTTGAATAGAGTAAGAACCTGCTTAGTATTTATATAATTCTGTATTATCTAGATAATAATAACCTTTTGGAATTTGTAAAACCTTTTGAAATCAAAGTATCTGAAAGTACTTTTTGATTATTTATAGAACTTTCTAATTGGCTTAATATATAGTAGAATTATAAATTGAAAAGTAATTATTGTAAGAATATTCTGTGTAGTATATTCTTTTCAATTAAAATAAGCAGATTGATTCAAAAGGTATTGTTATTGGAATAAAGATGCCAGCAGAGGGGCGAGGCAAGGCGCAAAATATATATAAGATTGGTTAGTTTCTATTACTCAAAAAAAAGCGAATTATATAATTGGATCCAGTAGTTTTTATTCTTCTAGGGTCTACTATTATTACTAGTCCTTCATTAAACTTACTCAGAACCTCGTGTGACCGGGTAGTCCAATACAGCCAATAGGCGCTTGCTCTAAGCTTTTTTTTGTATCTATAAATTATTCTTTAGAATGAGAAAAGGCTTCAGTTATACTTATATATACTTCTATGCTGGTTTATAATATAGAGAGAATATATATAGCTTTTGAGTCCTTGCCGTCTCGTGCGGCGTCTTGTCGTTTGTTTTTTTGTCCTAACCACCTCAAATCACAACGTTGAAAAGTGTATAAAAAGCATATACAATTATTCTTAATAACATTAAGGGTATTTAGAATTAAAAAAAGATTGTGTTTAAATTTATCAAGAGTATTAATTCTTTTTTCGAATTGGAGTATAATAAAAAGAGCTAATAATAGTAGCTAAATTATAAATCAAGATAGAAATAAATTGTTTAGAATTATCAATCTTATTGTGCTCATTATAAATAAAAAAAAGGTAGTTTATAATCTAAATTATTAATAGAATCTAAAGTTATAATAAAAGAATATGAAGAATCTACTGTTTAAATTAAGCTATATATATTCTAGTATGTGGGGAATAGAAATGTAAGTAATTAAATCGAAATTAAGAGATGATTTAAAGAAAAATACAGATATCCTATAAATTTAGTATTTGAAGTATTACTCTTATATAATACTATATGGATATAGGATGAAAGGCCTATAAGAGTCTATAAAAACACGGATTATTGTTAGATTGAAAACGAGGACTGCTTTTTTTATCCTCATTTTTAATTCGCGTTCTTGTTTTCTTATACAAATTTAGTGAAAAACACGAATTATTTAATGTTATTTTAGAGTGATCTATCTCCTCCCCACCTCGAAATATATTAAATTCGTTGAAATGCGAATTATTGACGGAATCCGTGATTTGATATCTAAATATGAATTCAAAATCCGCTTTCAAAAAGAGCGGAATATTCAGCGGATTCAGTGCGGATTTGTACATTCAAACTAGTCCTTAATACATTACGAATAGCCGAGAGCGCAGCGTTACCGTTTTTTTGGGTTGCGATGCCATATCCCTTCCCTTCCCATGTTGTATCAGCAATGGGGGATTTTAGACTCCATAACTAGGATTTATTCATATTTGTCAGCGCGATTATAAAGAAATGAGAGTTTAAAATTACTCTTGATTTTATTGTATTTCCAGCAGCATTCATCAAACGGATATTCTTCGTATTATCTTTTGCCCCCAAGCAGTGCATGAGATTTGCATCAGGTCGACCCTTTAAGCCCTCAGTTACCCTATCCCAAGTTTGATATGGTTTTTGGAAATATTTTTCCAATATATCGGGATCCATGAGGATTCTCTGGGTCCTATATTCAGGTACGGTGACGCCTCCGGTGACAACTTGAGTTAGGATCCCATGGACCATAAATTCTAGCAATCTAGATGGTGTTTGCAATTCAAAAATATGCTCAACTAAAATTAAATCTGTCAGTTTTTTCTTCATGACGATAAGCAAGGAGTGTATTTTGACTTACCAACCCAAGCTGGTGTGTCTTCAAGGTCAGCAGTTGGGGCATAAGATGCATCAGTGCAATCTTCAGGATTGTTTAAGCTATATCTGTCTACATTGCGAGTGATTTCGACGAAAGTCTGACCGTTCTGACCACTTGGATATTGAAAGGACCAGATGAAAATTAGCCGCGGATTTCCACGCACATCAGTCCCAAGATTTATGGAATACTCTCTTGGAGCCCCATCTCGTTTCCCTAATTGATGGAGTGTTTCATCATTTCCTGAGAAATTAGGGTTTTTCCTACTAGGCTCACAGGAATCTATCGGATTCCCGCTTGCTTGAGAAGCAGCGTAATCGTACTTTGAGTTTGGATCGGTGTAGAAGAAATCTGGGTCTAAGCATGGAATAGTGAAAATAGCACATTCTTCAGTCAACAATCCGCTACCATTATTCGAGGCAGCACCAATCACGTTGTTGATCTTTTCTGCGTTGCATGGGACCTGCTCGCTTGTAGGAGTTTGGAAATTCGTCTGAATCCTCTATCGGCGAGGAGAAAATTTCTGACTGGTGTGAGACCAAGATTTTGCAGCCCTAAGAATTGCATGGTGAGTTCCCCTAAGATATTTGAGCATTAATTTGCATGGCTTTGAATCGTCAGAATAAATGGATGTAACTTACAGAGTTCACGTTCGGCCCTAAGCATAGTATTCCCATCTATAGGATCATTGAGGAGTGTGTAAAGGAGTAAAACCATTGTCTCCACTGAGCTAAAGCCTTTTGTGCTTCTTGAATCAAGGTTAAACACAGAGGATCCAAGGTTCAAGCCATCTCCATTTGCATTTGAAGCAAGGAATGCAGAACATTCTTCCTGATAGGATCCTACGAAATCCTTTGCTGCGTCTTGATATTTCTTCAGTAGCTCACTGATCACTACCTGTGATTTTTCATAAGAGTAGTCCCCCTCACAACACGTCACTATGGCTCCTCCATTATCCTGACATGAGGACGGATCTTCCACTAGAAAACGAAGCTATCAGCATGTATCCAAATCAATGGGAAAATTCAAGGGAAAGCATATTTTGACTAACTTGCCACTCTAATCTGGCCGATAGGGCAACCAGATTGACACCATCCACGAGATCGCCCTGGTGGTGTTGAGCCATGATTTTTATAAACGTTGCATTCGCCCCAGCTGCCGTTTCCAGTCCCAGTATTACTACAATAAACACGACTTTGATATATCAAAGGTGCATCTTGCAATCTGAACGGAACTGGTTCAAGTCCACAGTAAGTACCACCACTTCCTTTAATTGAATCTGCAACCCTGACATTATAATTGTCGGTAGGACAACCGTTAAAATCTCAAGGAACTCTTGATTTGGTATCACACTGCCCAGGCTTTCCATTCCATATACTTTGACTATACAGTTTCATAGACGGTGTATCAGTTGTGCAGCAAATCTGCTCGTAGCCACCTTTTTTTCGAGTGTTGCAGAAGCTGTTAATGCTGCCAACCTCAACATAACCTTTATCCATATCGGTACAGCTGTTGGTATTATCAGCATTACATTTCCCGTTGTTGAAAAAAAAAATGTGCACATGTAGGCATGGAAAGTTCTGTGGGGCAGCAGAATTTACGGAGTAAGGATGCTGAGCCACAGTAACTCGAGTCTTGTATGTCTTCGCCTTCTGGGTGCCCGGATTTGCCATCTCCCTCGCCAATCGCGCGTTTAATGGGAAGGAAATTGTCACCAAGGGATTCGCATCCAGATCCGCAATCTGACCATCGGCACTGTCGATATGGCACATTTGTTATTAAAGTTGTTGATGGCTGATCCGCATCTTCAGTTGTGCTCGCACTGATTTAAGCGAGTAAGAAGTACGTGAGCTACTATTCGTGGCTATAACAATAGCTTTGGAGGAATTGAGATCCGCAGAATCTTGACTCAATGCCCAAACCATGATTCCGCCGAGACATTGGCTTCGTGCAAAATCTAGTTTTTGTTGATAGGTTTCTGCATCATCATATGCCACCCATTGATCATCCCATGTAATTATTTTGACGGCCGCATCAACGTAGTGTATTGGTGTCAACCCATTCTCTTAATCCGGTCTGCGATTTCCGCATTTGAAAGTGTTCCGATCGAATTGGTGCATCGGCCTGCATTTCCACCAGATGAGAAACGACATCCTGGTGCAGAGCAACTCGGATCTAGCATTGCAAATGATCTTGCATAAAAAGCAAGCCCGAGATTGACCTTACTGGGGTTGATATGATTTCTCCAAATCAAGTCGAGGGCAGTGGTAATTTCTGTGAGGTTTGTGTGTGCTATTTTGCTGCGTAAGTTGATGAATGCACAGAATATTTGAAATCTTACCGTTGAGAAAATTTCCAGCCCATTTACTCTTCTTATCCCATAGTCCATGCATATCGTAGGCTTTAACTCAATGTCAGCACTTTAGATCAAGCCTGTGGTCATGTAGTCATGTAGTTATCAGCGCAAAAATGGTACGTACTCATGATGTTGAAGAAGTCTACACTCTTCTGTAGCTTTTCAAGGTCAAAATATTGCAGATAACCAATATGACGCAGGTAATGTAATCGAAACACCGCCCCTACCCATAGGAGTGAGGTGGCTTTTTAGATTTGCGATGAAAGAGGGAAAGTTGTGAAAATCCGCAGGTCTTCCATTCCTATCATCCGCTACGGGATACTCCCAGTCGATTCTTCCACCCCATCAAAGTTGTATGTTGACATGAAAGATGTCAAAGATGTAAAAAACTTCTTTTGATTTTCCAAAGATGCTTCTAGATCACTGAACGTGGTGGCTGTCAACCCAGCGTCGTTGAAAGTCCATCCTCCAATAACTATGAACACTTGCAGGTCAGGCTGCAGCAGCTTGTGCATCGTGACCTGCTCATATAGTTCAACGTCGCTAGGGTCTCCAGGAACGATGCTGAACGTAATAGGGTCAATGGATGCAAATGCAAAGTTGATGTGTGTGTAAGTCCCAAGTGGTATCATATCTGGTGGAAACGGTTGACAGACTTTTCGATTTGCCCATCCCTCGTAACTACATATACGTTAGACAAGTTCGCTTTTTACAGTTTGAGGACTGAAATGATTTAATACATACTAGCCGACAGTACGCCGAGTAGTGGAGCCAGAAGAGCTGCATGATGGACATGTAATGGTTTTGTTGCCGCAAAACTCTTCCGTGAGTCCGCAAAATCCCCATCTATAACATGTTAGTGAGCTGACAATACAATACACCCCAAGCTAAAAATCTTACTTGCTACAGCAGACATATAATGGGCATTTTTTGATTTCAGAATACCCAGAAGCACCATAGCCAGGATCGCATTCGGACTTTCGATCACAATTCGCCACACAGACTTCCCTCACTCTACAATGCACAGAAACCTTGCACAACACACAAATATCAAACGAGAAAGCTCAACTTTCTGGATGAGAAGCATCGAGCAAAATGGCCAAAGTCCATTTGCCCCGACGGGCTATCAAGTGTGGAGAAATGGTATGGATTACGGTGCTGCAGGTATGTGAAAGTCTTCGGCTTTATGCTGCCTCATTTCACTAATCAATTTTATAGGTGATGGTTTGACAGACGATACCGCAGCTATCAATGCAAGCAATATCATATGGTGGAAGATGCGGTATCGATTGTTGGGTCTAGCACAATTTATCCTGCCTCTGTTTTCTTTCCACCTGGCGTTTATCTTGTCAGCTCTCCAATTATTCAATACTACAACACCGAGATACTGGGAGATGTAAGGTGATGTTTTGTTATAAGTGACATTAATTGCTAATCATCTTTAGCCTACCGACCTGCCAATGATTATTGCTGCATCAAGTTTTGTTGGACTTGGTGTTATTACGTCTGACGTCTACATTGGAACTACGGAAGGCTGGTAAGTTAGCGTTTCTAACGTCTCTGAAAACTCTACTGACCTAGCTCCAAGGTATCTAATACAATAACCTTCCTCAGGAGTATCAAGAACTTCATAATGGATATAACTCGTACTCAACTGAATGCTCAGGTCTGCGCTATACATTGGCAGGTTGCCCAGGGAACATCACTGGAAAACATTCATTTTGTCATGTCATCTGAGGAGGGTTCGACTCAGCAAGGAGTAAGATAATTCATTCCTGTTTAGCCAATAAGATTAACAAGATCCCACAGATATATATGGAAAATGGTTCTGGAGGCTGGCTATCTGATTTAACATTTGTCGGTGGCATGTTCGGGTAAGTGATCAACTGCACAGTATTTTACAATTATCTGACCAATTCAGTGCATATTTTGGTAACCAACAATTTACAATCGCGAAATTTGGCTTTTGATGGCTGCAAGACTGCTTTACAGATCTCATGGGACTGGGCCTGGACCATGCAAGGATAAGTAAGTTTTGATCCCCAGATTTGGCTCGCTTATTTGTTACCCCCACAGAGTACCAAACTAAAATAGTCATCATTATCAACTATGACAGCTCCTGATCTCTTGACTGAGAATTTATGCTAATCTCAGGATAAAAAAGATATCAAAAACTGTGGAACTGGAATTAATGTCCTTGGAGAGGTATGTTTAGTTATCCGTTACCATTCTGAATATTTTATTGAGTAATCAAATAGGCAGGAGGCTCTCTAGGAACATCCAAAAATGTCGGATCTTTGACCTTACTAGATCTTGTCATCGAGAACACACCAATTGGAATCGAGACCTCTCTCTTTTCCACGAATTCAACCTCATTATTGATCGAGAATGCCTATCTTAACAATGTCTCAAAGGTCGTCACAAACAATCAAAATGCCCACACATTACTAGCTGGCAGCTCCGACGTCACTACCATTGATTCGTGGAGATTTGGTATGATGACCAATGCTTCTAGTGTTTGAGAATTTTGCTAGTGCTCAGAAGATATCACAGATGTCTCGGTCGGCATCATTGGTTGACCAAAGTGGAAATCAAACCACCCCATCGCCAAAGTTCTTCACAAGGCGCAGACCAGTCTATACTAATATAGGTTTCAGTCAAATTATAGATGTGACAACTTATGGGGCAGTAGGAGATGGACAAACAGACGATACAGTACGTGTTCGATTTTTCAATTCTTTCGGGCGGGCGACTTTTACGCTCCTCTGGCCACATAGTTGTGGTTGATACGAGGTTTATATGCCCCAATATTCCCATGAATATGACTGAAATTCTTCTTCCTAGGCTGCCTTAAACTCTATTTTTGCCTTCGCGGCCAACATGTCCTCGATAGTTTTCATACCTTTCGGAGTGTACAAGATCTTCGACACAGTGCATATACCAGTCGGGTCGAGAATTGTTGGGCAGGCTTGGGGTCAAATTATGGCCACAGGAGACAAGTTTCAAGACATCAATAATCCAAGAGTTGCTGTACAAGTGGGAAATTCCGGAGATATAGGTGTCATAGAAATTCAAGACATGATGTTCACCGTTTCCGGTCCAACTGCCGGTGCGATATTGGTTGAATGGAATGTTCATGAGATTATCCAGGGATCTGTGGGCATGTGGGTTACGTGTGTCTACTATGTTATCATTTTTATACTAACTTCTCCAGATACTCACATTCGCGTTGGCGGTGCAATTGGCAGTGATCTCCAACTAGCAGATTGTCCAAAGCTATCAGGAGAGATCAATTCTCAATGCGTGGCGGCATCACTTCTGTTCCATATGACACCAAAGTCATCTGGGTATATCGAGAACTCGTGGATGTGGGTTGCAGATCACGATATGGATGTCGTTACCCAGGATCTGATCGATGTCTATTCAGGTCGTGGACTTTTAATCGAAAGTCAAGGACCAACCTGGCTATACGGCACCGCAGTTGAACATAACGTTTTATATCAATATCAGGTTTCCGGGGCAAAGGACATATTGATGGGTGTAATTCAAACAGAATCACCATATTTTCAAGTCGCCTCCGCTGCACCAAATCCTTTTACTTCAAGTCTGGGTCTCTTCGCCAATGACCCAACGTTTGGTGACTGCAAGCCAGGTTCTCTGAGCTGTGCAGTGTCATGGGCTATTAGAATAATTGACTCTGTCAGTATTTATGTCTTGGGTGCGGGCTTGTACAGTTGGTTTCAGCAATATGAACAAACCTGTCTTGCTACCGAAAGTTGCCAAGACCGAATCTTTAGTGTAGAGCAGAGTACAGAGATCTGGGTTTACAATCTAGTCACAAAAGGCTCAACTGAAATGGTCAGTCCAGTCAATGGAGTGGCCACGTTCTCCTTGCCCAATCAAGGTGGCACCGTAGCTTCACTACTAGCTTGGCTTGAGGGGCAGATCAAACCATCGGGATTCGAACCTTCACCGGGTTTCAACTCTACAAAGAAGGCTTTGTTTCTGCTTTGGAACTTCCTAATATTTGCGTTACAGCTTTGACAGCTAGCATCCACTGTAACAGTCTCCTAGCTACTTACACAACACCGCAATGGGCCGGCTCTTTAGAGAATGATACGCTCACTGATTCTGTTGTGATCCTGGATGTGGTTCCCCTCTTGCTTTCTACTTCAAGACAGCTAATTCTTCATGTGCGGGCTACAATATTACAGGTGCCCCTCCAGCGATGCTAGGTGGATTTATTTGGCAAGGTTACAACGAGACTTGCTTGAAAGATCCCGCGAGTGGACATTATTGCAATGGTAAGACTCACTCTGATCCCCATTTACCACTTTTTATCGACGTTAACAAATTGCCACAGACTTGATTCTAGACTTCACGCTGGTTTCCGATGTTTCTGAAATGCCTCGGGATGAAATGTGTTCAACATACTACACACAGCGCCTCAAAATGATGCAGTCATCTCAATATTCAGCTTACGCCGGAACATATTCATCAATCCTAGCTTATGTTGCGAAGCTTGCAGCTTAGGATCTTCAACAGATATCTTGCCTCCACTGATCGATGAAACACCATCTCAGGCTTCTCCTTGCGTATTGGGAAATTACTATACAACAAGCGCTGGAGACACATGCGACACAATCTCACTAGCTCATAATGTATCCTCTGCGTCTCTTTTCATTGGAAATGCAGCCATCACAAATCGCGCCAATATCATCCCTGCAACGAATTTATGTCTTCCCATACAATGTCAACGCACATACAACCTCCAGCACAACGATGTATGCGGATCTCTAGAATCTACCTATAATCTTGGACCATTTGGTCTCCCTGGCTTCAATCCCTGGATAACTTTTGATTGTACTGGACTCCAGCAGAGCTCCACAGTATACGGTACCATTCTCTGTCTTTCACCACCAGGTGGAACTTATAATCCAACAGTAACCAGTGGGCACAACACCAATCCATTTAACAAACGATCCGTACTCTACTTCCCGTCAAGATCCCCTGTGAGTTCTACTATCGCCAATAGAACTACCCTCAATTGCGGCGTGTGGTACACAGTAGCCCCTGGTGACGATTGCCCGATTCTCAGTATCTTCTTCGGTCTCACCGCGGGACTACTGATGCAAATCAACCCTTCATTACCAAGTCAAAACTGCAGCTATGGTATTATGGCCAACATTACATACTGTATATCTCCTCTATGGGCCTGGGATACGACACCAATAGAATCTGACACTATGGATGCAGCGGCATACGCTGGAGCCTCTGCTGCAGCCTCTGTTTCTTGGTTAGCTTCTTGGTCTGCAGCTCAAAGTGCAGCTCAGACCACCATGGAGAGTTCTGCACCAACGAGCTCCTAAATTCAAAATGTTACAGTCACTTTAAGTTCTAGCTATGCGGCGACTTCAACGTAGAGCTAGATAACAGTAGATCAAAAGGTTGTGATTTGGAATGAGAATAAAATCGCTGGCAAGTTCGTGTCAATTTTCCAGATTCATAGTGATTCATATGGGGAACCCCTTCAGAAATCTGCGTGTCGATATTAACTTTATCACCGGAAGCTGACGCAATTTAATAAGGCATTAAATCCAAAGTACCTCTTCCACTCAGAGTTCCTCATCACATGCATACCTACAAACAATACTTACTTTGTGGCTAACAGCTCTAATAAACCCTGTCTCCCTCGCGATATTTCAGTCCTAACTTAGAAGTCCAATGGGTTTCGACTATGTAACAGTTGTTCGAATTTCGCGTAATCCATGTGAGGATATTTTGTGATGAAATTACTCCAAAACTACTCCCAATAATCTTAGTGATCAGTTCTTTATAATTGAAACCCGTGAACACCGATTATCACATTTAAGTGGTTTTTCTTTAGCTATGAAGCGAGGTCAAAGCATGCTGCAAATTTAAATTATTTAGTCGTATATATATAGGCCATTATATTGTATATCATTAGATTCATTAAATGACTGATTCCACTTTCAGAAGATCTAGCAGATCGAAGAACTCAACAATATATACATTTCTAGTGATAATAATCCAGTACCAGTTACTTCCCTGTGAATCTTCAAAGTTTTGGTTTCTCTCGATTTTCAACTTCATCATTTGCAATTAGTTCAAGTAGATAGATGTCCTGGAGTCTAACGTCTAATATGATGCCTCACAGCATATCCAAGTCCGAACTTTAAATTGTGGGGTGTATTGTTGCTTTGGGCCAAGTGAAGTCACTTGCAACACGACAAGCATTTGGTTGAAATATTTTATATTTCTTTCGGAGAAATTGAATTGGCGGTATTATGATAAGGTCCCGGAGATTTGAAGAAAAGTAACGTTTATTAGAACCGCTTTACACCAAATGACCCCTCCCATCAACTATCAACTGCGAAACTCATAGGTGTTGAATGGCCAGTGAGTGCCTTTCTTCAATAGAACCAAAGGGCCATGGTATCTTCCCATCTCAGTCGCAACGTCCCAGATGTGGTCGGCTTTTTTCTGTGCATATTCCCAAAATCGCTTCATGCAATAAATTTCTCCCTTGCGCGCAGCATAAAACCAGGTGAATGCTGAAGTAGCTGCAACTTTTAATCTGCCATTAAATACTGTGCTTGTATCTGTTTCAAATGAAACTGTAAGATCAAAAGTCGTGCCGTATGCCCATATCCATGGAGTATTTGAGCTACCGTTAAATGAAGCGATTACCTCTGGCGTGACGAGAAGGAATGTGTTTTGTAGAATTTGCTGATCGGATTCGGTCCTCGCTTTAACCACGTCTTGAAAAGCTCTATAACTTGTTAACAAAAGGGGTCAAGTTTTGGTTCCTGAATTCATACCTGTAAATACTTTCACTATCATTTTCAACAACGAATTGATCTTGCTAAATCAATTTACTCGTCTGTCTTATCTGCTCGCCACCTACTAGCAATGAAATACCGGTACTCAATGCATTTTCAAAGTTTTTGCGAAAATTTTCCCAAGCTTCCTTACTACAATTAGTTCTTGCATCTCTAAAGACCACAAATCCCCAAGAAGGCTGTAAATCGATAGCAGTAAGAGGCACTGATCGGTCAATCAATCTCTCTACCCATGCGCATGGCTTCCCACCATCGTCTGCGGCTTTTTGTATTGAAGCTTTCATAGCTTCGTTTCGCAGCTTCCCCAAAGAGCTAGCCCGAAGACTCGCAGCTGTCAGAATAGCGTCTTCATGTAGCATCAAAACTGCAACTTCAGCATCGATATTAGCCAATTGATCTTCAAGTGGCCAGGTCATTTTGCTTGCGGCCAGAGCCTCCGAATTATCCCAAATATGATATCCATATTGAATCAATCGACATTCATCCGTCGTCAAAGACTCTGGATTCTGAAGGACCTTCTTCTCAAATTCATCGGGAGACATTCCAGTAATCTCAAGACAATTCGAAAGCTGAGTTGTGGGATCAACAAGTCCAAGGATATTGCGTCTTTCCTCATCCGTAATTTGCTCCGGAGTCTGAATCGCTTTTCGCCACAGTTCTCTATCCCGTTCCGTTGGTAAAATCATGATGAAAGCGAGAGTGCGTGAGCTTCAAACTTTCCCAAATTCTATGTAGTGAAGTTAGAGACTTGTTTGTTTATCCACTAACGTGTATGAGCTAACCTTTTGCTTGAGTTTAGACTGAGATGGAGGTTTCGAATGGGAAATGAAATGGCGATTTGGCCGAAATTTGATAGAGACGCAAAGAAGTTGTTGAAGAAGTGATTGATATGACTTACCCAGCTAGGTATTTAAGATACTAAAAAGTTTGTCAACCTCAGAAATCCAGTACTAACAAACGGTGGCTGGTGTTTTGATTCACTATTATTCTTTGTGCTGTACACCAGCTTTCAAGGGCGCACGACACTCTAAAGTGAATGAAGCGAACCATTTTTTAGTGGGGTAAGGTTAGGTTTAAAAAGATCATGTCACGCAGCTCTCGCACACAATGCTTGCGCTTGTTGAATCCCAACCATAAAACGGCAATAGCTAAAATTATTAGAGTGGTCTTAGGTCAATGAGTACGATTATGGATATTCATATTTTGGTCTCAAATCATAATTTATCTCTGTGTTTTTTAATATGTTCATCGTCCGATCGCGTTCCCCCATTAAGAACATTACACAATTAGGATTGTATATGTGTATATATGTGACTTTAGCTCTGAAATCACATTCAAGGTACTATTCAACGCGGCGAATACTACTTCCTGTGCAAACAAAATCTCATCATGAAACTTCTTCATCAAAATGCTCGGTGATGTACTGAATATCATGGCCAGCGCGAAGACCTGGCCTCGCTGGGTTTGTAGGAAGAGTGATTATTCAATGAATCACCTGGAAGTAAACAAAAGATGAGTTCTGTTAAAGTCTTTCAGGACGATATCACATAATTGTCTATATTTAAACCAGATACTGATACTTAAATACCTCTATCTGTTTTAAGCTTTGTTGCTTCAATACCCATTCTTGAATCAGGAGCTCGACTCGGGCTCGACTTTAGATAATATGACACTGCTCTAGATCTCTCGCAATGCAACTATGCCTTCCCAGATCTCCCATTTTCTCCTTAGCTAGAGACTCAAATCCATCTCTGTCATGGCATCCCACATATGCAAAACCCGTGATCCGCTTAGATTCCTTCCCTTCGTCTAACCTCCTCTCAGTTTCTAATTCCTTAAAATCAGTGTCTCTGAGTACTGTCGCCCTACTCATTCCCGCTATAATGGCAATTGTATCACCATCCCGAATCATCGGTGTAGCTACACCTGCGAAACCTTTATCTGTGACAAAGAACTTGCGCCTCCGAACAATAGGCAAAATTACATCTTGAAACATCTTCTGTGCCTCACCATCCTGCTCCGGAGTACGCCCCATCAATACTTCAAAGGTTCTGGGGTACGTTACTATTAATTCATGATCGGTATTGCGAATACCAATAAGTGTGCACCAAAGAGGCTCACTTCTAGGTGCTTGGACAGTTAGAAGGGTCTCAATCTCCTTGAATCGTGAGACATAGTAATCACGGTCTCCATCAATGAAAGAAACAATATGAGTGACGCAACCAAAACTGGCCATGTAGGCGCAAAGCGTAGTTCTATCCGAGGAAACACTAGCTCTGACACCTTCAGGCCATTCCCAATCGTGGCTTGCACAACTCCCACGCAGAAAAACTGGATTGTGTTCGTCGTTAAAATCAGCCGAGATGGTGAAGTCTGGGACCCATGAGTGAAGGGGGGTTTTGAAATGGCGTGTTCGCCAAAGAAGACCAAGCAATGCTAGTCCCTTTGGCTCGTGCTGTATGATGTAAGTCATCGTCGGTAAAAATGTCCATTCTGGCTGCTTGTGGTAGTCAATGGGAATTGCGGCTCTGGCCTCCTCGCTGAGCAAGCCGAGGATACCATATATCTTGTCGCGCGGATCGGTAGAGCGCAAGTTCATTTTACTTTTCAAGACAGTTTCAAGGCTGAGACATTCTTTTCGTATGTGGATAGAGCCACGAGAGTGCATGAGAAATCCGTGATAGGTAATTGGAACGCGTTTCATGAGCTCCATTCTTCTCCAAAATGCTTTCGCTTCGACAGAATCGTATTGAAAATGTCTCATGACCGTGTATCTGGCTCTCCATACTACTGGATCGAGATTGATATCTTCGGCTATCTCTAGTACAGTACAGTACGGTAAATCCTGCAGAAAGTTTTCGCTAAAAGCACTCCTCAGCCCTGTGATTACACCTTCTAGAGAAGTCTGTCCGAATCCATTCAAGTCGAAAAGTCTCTACCACCGCATCGCGATACACTCTCTTGTATTTATCTTCAATGATATTCATATCGTCTGAGAAATGTGCCCATGCTGTTATGAATGGCAAACCAACTAGAATAAATATATCAGCAGTCGCTCAGCTAGTACTCATGAGTTCCTCAGAGATCTACAAGTCTGTGGCAAATGTGTCAAGCAAGTGCTCCACATTACAAATGTTCATAAACATTCGGACTCTCATTTGATGTTTTGGGAATAATGAATTGCCATTGACTCACTCACCCAAACATTTCCGCATCCAATAGAGGATTTTTCATTCTTCCATCCACGACGCTATGCTTTGCCATGACGAACTCCTGCACCGTCCAAATCCGTGTAAACCAGGGTCGAGACCAGATCTCCATAAATTGGGCTTGAAAATCATAAGTTTGCCAATATGCTTTGTCAAATCTTTCAACACTCCGCATTGCTTGTTCGCTGCCCTCTGCCTCCGGTCCGAGCCATATCAACACAGTGGTTGCGTTGGAATAGACTCGTCTCATAAGTGCAACCTGTGATGCACGTTCATCAAGATCATCCTGATTTATACATAAAGCGTCAACCCAGAGAATACGAGGTGCGGCAAGAAGACGGAGGTTTCGCAAAGCATTGTCGAGATTTGGGTCAATGGGAACCAGGCGGTCACCGAGGTTGATGGTTTTGGCTGGTGTGGTTGAGCCCCAAACATATGAAAGAGCTTCAAAATCTGAGCTCGACTCCAGAGAAACGATATCGAGATGACTGTGGAGAGGATCATCGAAGTTGGCAGCTGGTAGAAGGATCAGACGCCGGATCTGACACAGATCTGAGTCCAGAGGTGTATACAGCGTCATGATGAGTAATTTGTGATAAAGTTAACTTTGAGTTCGCGATGCTCTAGGTATTTATTTAATTGGCAGTCAAAATTGAGATAGCAATTAGTAACTTCGCCTCCGAGAGCGGTATGTCATGTTTAGCGTCGATTTCAGCGTGGCGTTTAGTGCGAGCCAATAATAACTTACAGGTAAGTGTTTGGTGTCACATTTTCTGCAGCCCATTATAATACAAGACGACATTTTGTTTCGGAGTTAGATGAGCTGAAATACATCCCGCTATTCATAGATCAGCTCAGGTCCCGCTTCCAGAAGTAGCAAATCCGTAAAAAACGATTCTGTGTGCTCAAGTGATGATTTAACAATTCAAACATCAACATTATTCAAGCCTCAATTTCGTTTGTATGCAATCCAGTTTAATTTGGCATTGTTTTGATTCATATGTATCATGTTTCAAACTCGAGTGATCTCTAATTTCCATTGCTGTAGCCCATCGCCTAGTCATCAGACAAATGGATATTGCCATGCATGCTCCCCTTCAATGATTCATCCTGAAAACATACCCGTTTCATTACCTGCTTCCTTGTTCTTGGACTTAAATCTATATTTGGCTCTTTTAAATTCGGAACGTCATCTTACCATAGATATTCTAGGCCGGGCATCCGGAAAAATAGAAAATGTCATTATATAGTTGTTCTTCTGATTCGAAGCTCAGTTTCCCTCTGTATCTCTATTGGTGTCAGACAGCTGTTGACGGTAAATTCGAGTGATTACACCACTTCTGCCGGATCAATGGCCCTTTCCCTTCCAGCTTCTTGTACACCGTTAACTTTATTTGAAGCGACCGCACTCATAGTAGTCATATGAACCAGGAAAATAAGAACTAGCTTGATTGAAAGGAGCTCCAGCAGTTTTTAGATACCTTTATTGAAATAACGTACTCGAGTGTTCGCCGATATCTCTGGGGTCCTTCAACATTTTCGCTTATTACAAGTGAATGGGAATAGATTCAGGGGAAATTCGGATGAGCTCAGCTCTCCCATTATACGATCAAATGACGAATCTAGGATTAGCCCAGTGCGGGAACAAACTTTGATGTCAATCTGGAATATTTGTAACTACATCCGTGTTCGATCAAGATACTCTGCTAGAAAAGGAAAGGGCGATTCCGATCTTAACCGGACTCGTGATTTCGTCAAACCCTAAAATGACATCATAGCTTAGTAGAAGAGCAGCGCAAAGCGGGGTAGCTGTCATCGTATAAAACTTTAACTGCCATTGATCACCATAGAGAATCAGATTGGCCACAATCCTACGTGTAGCACGTAAGAAAGTGTAATTAAGACATTGGCAAAGATAGGCACAATGCTGGCATTCGAAGCTTCAGATCTCCGATGTGATAAATATGAGAAATTTCCCATACCCATCGGTTCGCAATGACTTATGTATTGAATGACATATTTGATGTTTTGAGAACATCAAGCACTTCCTATAACTACCAAGAAGAAACTGAATGAAAATCCGCTAAAATTTTAACTCCTACGAACGCAATGGCTGATACTCAAACTGGTACCTACGGCCACGCAGGTACACCTTATGAGGATGGGAGAAGTAGTGGGTCTCTCAGACTTCCTTGCTACTTCTTATGTTGACAACAGTATATAGATGACAGCACTAGATTAACTATAGAAAAAAGTCGTCAGGAGGAACGAAATACAGATGGGACTTTGCTTTATGACTGGGACGGCGAGAATGATCCAAGAAATCCGTAAATGGGCCACCCTCCAAATGCACCGCAAAGAAAAATACTGAATAAGACAGATTCAATTGGTCTAAATTACTCAAGTGGAGGCTAACTGTAGCTGTCCTTATTGTGTGAGTAACCATTGATAATTGATGCCTTTTCTAACGGGCTCTGTGCAGGTCCATTCTTTTCGGCCTCCCAGCGGGTGCATACGGTGCGGGAAACGATGAGATGAGTGCTCTATTCAACGTCAGCAACTCCGGCTTTCCCTACTTATTCTTCGCTACAACTTCCTGGAATATTGGGGCTGCAATAATTCCCTTATTATTTATACCGTTGACGGAAACTTCAGGTCGTATGCCTGGATACTTTGGTGCATATATCGTGTTCCTAATCTTCTTGATACTATGTGGAGTAGCACAAAATTTCGAAACTATGGTAGTGTGTCGATTTTTTGGAGGAGGAGCTTCTTCAGTGGCTATCAATATTGTCGGTGGTACTATTTCAGACGTCTGGAAAGGTCCCCAACAACGAAGCTTGCCACTGTCCTTATTTGGAACGACGAGTGTCATCGGAATTGCGCTCGGTCCCTTTGTTGGCGGTGCTATCACTTCCACATATCTCTCTTTTCGATGGATGTACTGGGTTCTGCTCATTATTACCGGCGGACTTCTTCCTGTTTTCTGGTTCCTCTTGGTGGAAACTCGAGGGGATATAATTCTAGCCAGAGAAGCTAAGAAATGGCGCAAAAACAATCCAGACGAAGAGCCACGTTATGCGGAAGCTGAGATTGATATGCCATCCTCCGTCACTCAAACCTTCTCCACAAATTACAACTATAACACCTTTCAGACCTCCCTCATTCAACTCTCTCTTAGCGTTGGTGCCATTATCGCCACTTTCGTAAATCCGATTCAAGACCACCTATATCTGCAATCCGCAAAACGTTCCAAGACAGGAACACCCATCCCAGAAGCCCGTCTCTATTCCTCCATTCCCGGTTCTCTTTTATTTACAGCAGGTCTCTTCTGGTACGGTTGGTCCTCCTATCCTTCTCTTCCCTGGATTGTCCCCACGCTCGGTATTGGTTGTGTCGGCTTTGGAATATATTCCATCTACCTAGCTGTAGTAAATTATCTGACCGATTCCTACGAAAAATACAACGCATCCGCGCTCTCGGCAGCGTCATTGGGGAGAAATACGTTCGGGGCTTTCTTACCACTAGCAAGTCCAGCCCTTTACACAAACTTAGGGTTCCAATGGGGAAGCTCTTTACTAGGATTCGTAGCATTAGTGTTAAGTCTAGCTCCGGTGTTGTTGTTGGTCAAGGGGGAGGAGATTAGAAAGAGAAGTCCTTTTATGAAGGAGGCAACTTTTGCGAGAGAGGCACCCCGAACCACAGAGGACGGTGTGTAAGGATAATATGAATCTGTAACGATAGAACATATATAAAATATTTATACTTTGATGTGGGGTAGCACCATGTTGGTGGGAAAGAAGTAACGGGATCTATGGATGTTTTCTGGGCAAGTACTTTTGAATTTCTTGCTATTTCCAAGCCACATCGCACATAGCTTTTTACATTGTACAGTATATGCTTATTATATACCATATTTGAAAAGAAAAATTAAGTGATCGGAGTATTCTCTCATCTTCTGGTAGCGATTGTGAAGTGTACTGTGGCAAACGTTGCAAGTCCTCTGAATTGATAAAAATCAATCAATCAACCAATTATCTCTCGATCATTCTGTTTTCCAAATGTGCAACAAAACTTTTTGGCTAGAGAGAACTGATCACTTCTGAGATGAAGGGATATTGAAGTGAATCTCTTGGATTCTTCATGATTCTCTTTTCACTCGATAATCCCTTCAATTGTTGCCCGTCTCTCAATGCTAGTATATTCTTAATAACAAGTAACTTTCTCTGTAACAAATCTTTCACTTATGGTATCCTATGCTACTCTCAATTGATAAGCTCTTTTGTATCCTCGCGTGATGGCCCCTAATTCCCTACTTTCCAGCATCCTCCTTCAAACTGACAATACGATTCAATATAATCTTATCATCAGTTGAATCCGAATCCATTGCCTAGAGATAATTAGAACAGTTTAAAAGTATAAAGATCCAGGAAATGACTCACCATATATGCTACACGCATGGCCTGGAACCTGACAGATTCGGGACCTCCCTTTCCGAGCTCCGATTCTCCAGCAGCTTCTGGCCATGGAGCTCGTTTTCGTACCTCATCAAATCCAGACTCAATAACAGCATTAGGCCAAACTTCTTCGCTATCAGGGTTGATGTCATTCAAGAAGCCACCTTCAGCATCATCTGGCTTTTCGCTCTTGAAGAGACTATTGAAGATTCTAACTTCGACATTCTTTGAACCTTCTGCAACCCAATGAATATAAGTCTTTGGTTTCTTGCCCTCTTTATCGTAGACGGCTCGAATCTCTGTGACCTTGTCTCCATCTTTAGAGAATGAGACTGCCTTGACTGGGTATGGAATATGTAATAGACCGACGGATTTTCCAGGGGCGAGACGGAAGTAATCTTTGCTGTCAACTTCTCTAAAATCACTTCTCTCAATGTAAACAGTTTTAGTCAACGTGACCTTGTGGCTGCCCATTGCAGGTACTTTGGGTGAAAATGGGATGTCGAGTTCCAGCTCTTCAGCATCCTCGATGATGACAGGTACAGGATCCAAAACCAACATAAGTCTGGGGACTGTGAGCTCCAAGTATTTACGAACAGTCTGATCGAAACGAGCGAGTTGAATATTGGTAGGAGCAGTGGTTACTCCTAGTTCGTTAATGAACTCAAGGATGGCTCCAGGAGGGACACCGCGTCTTTTGATTCCAATCAATGTATATAGTCTTGGATCATCCCATCCTCTAACATAGTTATCATCCACAAGTTTCTTGAGCTTTCGCTTGGAAAGCACAGTGCCCGTAATGCTTAGGCGACCATATTCTCTCTGCATGGGTTCGTATACTTTCAGTGTACTATTCAACCATTCGTACGATACTCTTGATAGAATGAACTCGGTCGTGCAAAGCGAGTGTGTGATGTTCTCAAAACTATCGCAAAGACAATGGGTGAAGTCGTACGTTGGATAAATCTTCCATTTATCTCCTGTTAGATGATGTTTGGCATCCAAGACTCGGTATGCTGCCAAGTCCCACATTTGAGGGTTTCCGTCTTCAATGTTCTGCTTCATGCGCAAGAATGCCTCTCTAGGTTTGTATTCGCCATCTCGCATGGCTCTAAACTTTCTCAAATTTTCTTCAATCGATTGGTTCGCATGCTCGCATCTAAATCTCGGACCCCGTGCCTCACCTCCTCTCTGAGCTTTGATTTCAGCGTCTAAATCAAATCCATTAGTATTCGCCAGTGCCAAAAGTATACGCAAAGTAGTTCTTACCACCGCAATGGCAAACATAAGCCCCCCCTAAGTTGACAAGTTCCTCTGCTTTCTCGTAAAGTTTATCGAAATTATCGCTGGAATGTGTAATCTTGTAAGGTGTGAAACCCAACCACGAAACCATTTCCTTTATCGCTGTAAAATATTTCTCTTCCTCTGCTTCGGGATTGGTGTCATCAAATCTCAGATAACACTGGCCACCATGATACTTAGCGAATCCGAAATTGACAGCAATAGCTTTTGCATGACCGATATGCAAGTATCCATTAGGTTCAGGTGGAAACCGAGTAAAGACTGGTTTGACAGGACGCTCCTTGTACACTTCTGAGAGAAATCCTTGGGCGAATACATTTGATGGCTCTGTTGCTTTGGTCTCTTCTGGCTTCTTAGGTTTAGTTGCAGAAGCTTCCTTAGGTGGTGCTGCTGATTTTGCTTTTGCTTGTGCTGCTTTCTTCGCGCGTTTTGCCAATCTTTTCTTAAGTTCGGCCTTCGAGACCATCTCACCAGTCTCCTCATCAAGCTGGAGCTTGGCCGTTCCTTCGGTAATTGCGTCCGCCATATTGAACGATAAGATCAAACCGTTTAGATTCTGGTATAGTTGAATGCTCTCGATTATTTGAGAATTTCTCGAGGTCCAGGAGCTTCAGAGGTGGTTAAGATTTTCCACTGATTGTTTTGTTGGTTAAGCTGATATGGAGGGGTTCAGCCATGAGTCAAAATCGTTTTGAAGCAGAAGGCTGAAAGCACCGACATCCCGATATCTTTACAGGGATACGAACAGCAAGACGAGAGTGGCTTAGTGGCTCAGCTACTTAGCTGCCCTGCCAGTGGCTGGAGCACAATAAAGGAGTCCGTGCACACTCAAAAGTTTAATAGCTAATACCTAGCTGTAGGTAGGCCGCTGTAGCCTTGTGTTACGTAGTATCTGCTAGACCTCCCTAGTATATAGGTAGGTAGGTATATCTACAATGTAATATTTGATTGTTTTGTAGCCTTGACTTCATTAACCGCATTACTCTCTTTCTTCCTTTTCAACGGACTTTTTTTCTCCAAACCAAATCTTACATCTACAACATCTTGTAGATGATTAGGAGCAAAACAATCATGTCTATTATATCAGCTACCGAGATACCGACTGTATCACTTCTCTATCACTTGAAGAAGTTGACCCCCTACAAAGAAACTGATGCAGACGAAGTCCCTCCAACTCCAAATCAATTCTTCAATGATCGCATCGGCTTGATTCGTGGTGATATCACCCATCTCGAAGTCGACGCAATTGTTAATGCCGCCAACAACTCTTTGCTGGGTGGAGGAGGTGTTGACGGAGCTATTCATCGCGCTGCTGGACCCGATTTGTTGAGAGAATGTCGAACTCTGAACGGTTGTAGGACTGGGTCAGCAAAGATCACCGATGCCTATGAACTTCCTTGTAAGAAAGTCATCCACGCGGTCGGGCCGGTCTACGATAGCTATAAGCCTGAAGTCTCTGAACAAAATCTCGAAGGATGCTACAGTACGAGTCTAGATTTAGCGGTCGAGAATGGATGCAAGACTATCGCGTTCAGCGCCCTGAGCACCGGAGTTTATGGTTATCCCAGTGATGAAGCTGCCCCCGTCGCACTTATGACTGTTAGAAGATTCCTTGAAAGTAAAAAGGGTTCGAAGATGGAGAAGATTATTTTTTGCACCTTCGTTCCCAAGGATGTTGCTGCTTACAACGAATGGATTCCGTAAGTTCCTTCAGTTTTTTGATTATTGATTGGGGTTAACATTAGATTTACAGACGTATCTTTCCGACGACCGAATCTAACGCCGACGATGATTGGGAGGAAGTCAACGAAGTTGAATCTGCTGAGAACGGATCTGTGTTAGCAAAGGGTACTGGTTCAGCCAAGGATGGTTCAGAAGCGAGCAAGGTTGAGCTTCCAGAAGTTCCAACTAAGGAGCCAATCGAGGATGAAGGACCTGCTGCAAAGAAGCAGAAGTCTAGCGATGATAAGAACTTGTGATGATCTATGAGAAATTACGATTAATGATATTTCTGGAGTAATGGTTTTCGACACTGCTTAGCTAGATTTATGAAATATCATAGCTCATTATGTCAGAATTTAAATGTTACCTAAACCACGCGAAGTTATTCCCAAAAGCTACCCCTCCTTGAACTCTCTCTTGTGCCCCGCCTTTTTGTGCTTATTAATCAACACAAGTATTTATCTCTCTCTTCGTTAGATCTCCAGATTTGGCCATCTGAAAACCCCTGGTATCAAATTACAAACGCGGCCTCGATGATTTCTCTATAGTCATTACCTAGGTTCCTGATTCGTCGAATTCCATTGATCAAGTTCGAAGATGTCGGCAGCTGCAAATATCTACAAGGAGATCGACTTTGTGGCTCTAGGAAATGAAGACCCAGATTTTGGTAAACTGTAGGTTCTTAACCAGGAGAATGTTTTCCACGTTCTTGACTTCACCGACGAGAGATCATTTATTCAGTTTACTATCGTGCCTGCGATTTGTTCTATACTTCTTCTGCACTTGCTGAACATGTCCCAGTTTGAAGTCAAATGGCCAATTGGATTTTAGCGATCCAAAATCGGTCCAGCAGCTCACAAAATCGCTCTTGAAACGGGACTTTGGTCTGAATTTGACACTTCCAGACGACCGACTCTGCCCACCAGTAAGTCTAGTCTAAGCTCCAACTGTATTCAATTATATGTGATATTTGTTGCTTTAAGCTGAATGGATCAAGGTACCTAATAGGTTGAACTACATCCTTTGGTTGCAAGAACTTATTGATACATCAAGTGATGTCTATACCGACTCTTACAACTCTAATCGACAAGTTCTTGGGCTTGATATTGGTACTGGAGCAAGTTGTATATATCCGCTTTTGGGTTGTGCTCAACGGGCTTCATGGAGATTTACTGGAACAGGTCTGTCCCCTGCGTTTTTCGATCAAGGACAATCATTGATTATATTTAGATATCGATGAAAGGAGTATTTCTTTTGCTAGAACTAATGTCCAAAGTAATGAACTGGAAACCCGCATTCAGCTCATTCAGACTAAATCAAAAGGTCCTTTGATTCCTCTTGATGAGATAGGTTGTCACAGGTACTTATTGTTATCCCCATAGACCAAAAGGAGGTTTTGTTGATGACTCCAAGCTTAGACTTTACACTTTGCAATCCACCATTCTATACTTCAACAGAAGACCTAATTTCTTCAGCATCTCTTAAACAACGACCTCCATTTACAGCTTGCACCGGTTCCGCAACGGAAATGGTCTGTGAAGGCGGTGAAGTATCTTTTGTCTCACGGATGATAGTTGAATCCTTGCAATTACGAAATGGGGTTCAATGGTATACTTCGATGTTGGGAAAGTTCTCAAGTGTATCGAAAGTCATTGAGCAGCTGAAAATGCACAAAATCGACAACTATGCCGTGACAGAATTCATACAGGGCAGTAGGACCAGAAGGTGGGCAGTAGCGTGGAGCTTCAACGACAGAAGACCGAGTATTGCAGTATCTCGTGGTTGTAAAAGTTTACAGAAGAGTCTACTGCCATTCCCAGCAGAGCAGACGATCACGGTAGGTCTAGTTGGTCAATATTCATGCTTTACAGTATTTTGAGTATTAAGTGGTCCCTAGGTTAGCATACCCGACAAAGCTGTCATCGCTACACGGCTACACGATATGCTATCAAAACTCATTACGCTATGGAACTGGGAGTCAGCGACATTCATTGGTACAGGCTTCTGCGACAAAGCCGTTTGGTCTCGAGCGTCACGCCGGCATCTAAGTGAGACTAATGATGAGAAGTCAAGTATTACCTCGAAAGGTTTGCCTGAAGATATGGCTTTTGGGTTTAAAATATCATTTGGGGACCACGAAGAAGAATCTCCCGGAACGAAAGTTGTTATTCGATGGTTGAAAGGTCATGACAGTGTTTTATTTGAAAGCTTCTGTGGCATGATAAAAAGAAAGTTACAAGACATGTGATGTCAGCGTATTGGACCTCCCGGTCGCTCTTTGCCGATCCGGGGAGCTACACGATAACTGTGACGAGATACAAATGATACAAGACCAGATACAAAATTCTTCAATCTAGATAAAAGGATTTTATAAACGTTGATCCTGCGAGGGCTCGATTCGGCAAGCAGGGCACAAACATATGGATACGATCAATTGTTTCTTCATTTGTGAATTGAAATGGGTTGAAGAGGGTTGAAGAGGGTTGAATTGGTAGTTCTACTCAATAGGTTTTACAGACGAAATGGACCATCAGCATAAATGAAGGAGTTGCCAAAGAAACTTGTGATTTTATTAATTTGAAACATTTCAAAAACACGACAAGGCTGAGCGTTGGGATTATTAGTCAGTAGTGATTTAGTAGACTAGTAGACTAGTACGTACTGTATTTGTGTATGTAACCTTACCATACTCGTAGCGTGCGTGCACTTATTTTCCCTTTCCCCCGCTTCCTTCTCTCTTCTCCAAACCACCCAAATCATTATCGATGATAGCAAATTTCTGGAAAAAGCATTTCTTTCACTTCTGTGCGCAGTACTCGTTTTAATTCACTCTCATGTTTGTTGTCTCTTTAGTCTTGCGATGTTTTTCTGTTACTTGATTCTCCCGAATACCAATCGATGTTGTTGTAGTATTGATTGATATTCATTCATCTATCACCTTTCTTCTGATTCACTACACCCACCCATTCATCGGTCGGTCCTTTATACTTGGAAAAGTCGCCATCACATTACCACTTAAAACGGTGACGCCCGAGGCATTGATTTCAGCCTTAAAATTACATCATTCCTCGATATCTGTAGTCTACTCTTGACTGTATTACAAACGTCTGCTCATATTGGATCCACGCTTCTAGACCAGGCCTGAATCCACAATCATGACAACCACGATAACCACGAGATTCAAGAATAGCATTTCGCATTCAGCAAGAGCAGACGATGGCGACAATACATCGCCCAACCACCCCTCAATCTCTTTCATCTCGCCTCCCAAAATGAAAAAGAGGGCGTTAAGTCAATTATCTAGCGTTATTACAGCAAAATTCACTCAACGATTCACCCACTTCCCTGACCTACCCACTGAACTACGACTAATTGTTTGGGAATATGCATTACCCGATCCTCTCGTTCACGAATTATACCCCAGCTGTCCGACCAGCTCACCTTATAACTTCAAAACCAAACTTCGATCAAACAGGCGACGTATTCCTACACTTTTGCATGCAAGTCATGAATCAAGAGAAGTGGCTTTAAAACATTACTGTCTAATGGCATACGATCCACCGCCGGTGACGGAGCCCCGCGAGGCTGTTGCTGGGATCACACCGTTTTACTTCAACCCTGCCATTGATACCCTATTCCTCAATTGTGTGGCATCAATATTTCTCGATGTGAGGTGGTTTTTGCTTGACGAAACACCAAAATCAATAGCGCCGATGAAAAAATGGAAGAATGTAGCATTGGATAGTTTACACATGCGATTTGTGGCAGTGGTTGCGAGCGACCTACCCACACCACAACATAGGATCCGAGAATTATTCCCAGATTTAGAGAACTTGAGTATTGCGGTTGACAGTAGAAATAGTGCCAGAAGAAGATTAAGGGCGAGTTTAAGGCCAGGACATGCGACGGAGCTGGTTACTGTAGGTTTAGATGACGTGGAAGGAAGTGATGAGATTGGCGTATATTTTGAAAAGGATTTCGGCATTGACAGTAATACTGGAGCGAGTTCGACAACAAACCTAGCGGCGAGCGTTACCGTCACTGAGGTGGACGATGATGAGGAAGACATTCAAGAAGAACAAGGGGAGGATAATAGGAGGCCGGAATTAACGATGTGCAAAGTTAAGAGAGATAGGTTCTACGTGGGTCTGAAACAAGACTTCGTTTACTCCTATGTAGGAGCTATACAATTACTGAGAGCTGCACGCAGAAGAATACTCGGAAGAGGGAGATAGGGAGGGTTGGTGGATCAAGCTCAATGGTCAAGCTTTTGCTTCAGCAAAATACCTCGATCTTATGATGGAAAGTAACGAGCGTACAATGCTTGGTGGTTTTTCGGCCGACCAAGTGTCTTGCACCGCGATACTCCTCAAATGTTGTTTGATCATAAGAAACATCAACATGGTGGCAGGATACTGGACCAGTGTTCAAAATAATTAGTCATCACCTTGGAAGTGTGGAATGGCGACGAAACTTCGAAGTTTGCAAATAGGACAGGTAAAGGGTCGATAGGACTTACAGGTCATTTGAAGATGTGGCAGGCTTATAGGCGATAATCGGGAAACGGCATGTGTTGACAGAATTAGGGATTAGTAAAGTCAATGCCGACAAGCATTCACCTAGGAAATAAAAGCTTGCTGAGTTACATTTTACTTTTTTATCATCATGCATACGTAGTTCATATTCTGCTCCTGTTGATTTGCTATTCTCTCAAAACATAACGCTTCATCATATCAAGTCGTTCAAAATTAATCGCTTGCTCGCTCACTCATGCCAGAATTGATGGCCTTCCCATCTCTAGTATCTCCCCCCAAATCTACCACTTAGCCTCCTTTCTGTCCAAAAATCCCTTCAAGATGGCGATCAGGTTCTCCAATGCACTCAACCACACTCTCAAAGCAGCCTCAACCTTGGAGTTGTCATCTCCAAGCTTAACGTAGAAATCTTTTCTGTATGGGCAGGCGGACATGGCGCCGCTGAATATGGGCTTCACCATGAAGGAGTGGTGGGGTTTTAGTGTCTCGCCGTAGGCAGCACGGAAGGATACGGAGAGTTCATCCGCGGGGGCGGCAAGGTTTTGTGAGAGAGCAATGCAGGTGAAGTCTAGACCACTGTGGGGGGCGGGCTGTTAGCTTCGAATTTCTAAGTTTGCAAGAATGGATAGAGGGGTTGGGAGCATTGTGCCAATGTATGCCATCACGTCGGCAGATAATGATGGCAAGAATAGTTTATAGAATTGTATGAAAATGACATACCGAACCAACCAAACTAAACCTTCAGTAGCGGTGTGCTTCTTTGTCTTGAGCTCATTGACGACCAATTCTTGAAGAGTCTCTGACTCTGCTGGTGCAGCAAGTTGTCTCTCGCGGATTTTCTGCCAAATTGTGAGCATATTTGTATTCAATCGGCAGGAGCCAATCGTACCTTGATGTTACCAGCCATATCATTCTTGACTGGGTTGAATGCTACAGATCCCATAACATCTACAATTCATTAGCTCGTTACTTCTCAAGGAGAGACAGGAAGGGGCCCATACCGAAAAGAGTGGTGAGGGATTCGGCAGCTTGAAGAAAATCTGTGGTTGCAATCGCATTGTCCTTCTCCTTGTTGACGGGGACATCGACGAATGATTTATCGAGAGTATCGATGAAGGTTTGTCCAGGGGGAATTTTCTTAACGGTTGCCATTTTTGAATGGGTTTGTGTGATTTGATTGATTGGAGAAGACGAGTATAGAGATGCAAATCGAGAATGTTCAAAAATTGAGAAAGATTGATAACGAGAAATTGTGAATGAGAGCTTTCAGGAGAAGAACAGATATGTGAGAGCTTTAAGAGGAACCCTTTCTATGAAACTCGTGGCATGAATCGAATAGATGGAGTCGGATGTTGGGTGTTGGTGGAATTGGTGGGGCAAAGGGAAAGCGGGGGTTGAGTGTTGGAAGTTTCCGTGCGAGGTGAGAACGGCGGTCAAGTATTCAAAGTCGCGGCAGTGTGAAACTTAGGCAATCACATCGAAGGATTAAAGGATCTCGAGAGGATCTCAATGAAGATATATTATTTCGTGCAGACGATGATGTGGATTCAATCTAGAAAGCTCCATAAGATCCATCGTTCCCATGGTTCCAGTCCCTGAGTACCTACAGATTGCTGGTTACTTTGCCTTTTCTGTTTTAGTGTTATTTATTTCTATGGAGTGGTTCAATGCATAGAACCACGTCTTCGAATCCAGATCTTCATCTTCTTGCGACGTGGGAGAAGTCAATATCGCAAATGCGAACTGATTTCTTATTTCTCCAAGGTGTTTCATCATGTCAGACTCTTGTGTTGTTTCCAATGAAACCCATGAATGCCGTCGTGAAAATGATATAGACCTCACTCATCCCATCGTTTATTGATTTGCAAATGGGCCAGAAGTCATGTGAAGCGTCAACGGCGAGCCCTCCAAACAAGTGTTCGTGACAACATGTGGTGAAAATTCAAGGGATGATCTTGCAATTCGGTCAAGATACATGAGACAATGACAGAAGGAGTTGAAATAACAAATGGCTCTCTTTCACCTCGCGATCCAATACATTCCTTCTGTAAAGGGGATAGGAGATGCATGAGTTCATTTGACATGGCTATCGGTATCAAACTTCGGTTTCCATCAAAATACTTATGATTTTGTTGTAGATTTACAAAGCCATCATTTCGATAGAATCATATTGAAACTTATCTGATATTGGAATACATTTCAGTGTCTAAATATATTTCAACGTCAGAAGGGATTCCAATGTCTGAAAGTCATTCAAAGTCTACAATCTATGCTTTGCAGAACCTATCGACCAGATGACTGCTGATGCAAGCCGAAACGCAAGGCAACTACATGATGTTTTTCCGTTAACTACCTCTTGAATAAATCATCAACATGAGGAGCTATTTCACAAGTTGTGGGGTGTACATATATTCGGCTTCAATGATGAGTGATCAGTTCTCGAGACATGGTGAAATATTCAAAATTCTTATTGGCGAAATGATGAGTGATCTATGGCATAGCTCCTTGCCATTCGCGTCCTTGGTATCTTGATGCATTATCATCCATGTATTATTATGACGCCTCAATCGTTATGATTGACTTTTTCGGCGATTTGATTTGCTATCATTTCCGGTTCCAGCATTTATCTGTCGTTTTCAGGTGGTCGATGCTACCAAGCTGGGGTAGTAGTGTTGGTCATTGGACAGGTGACAAAGCCTCCCTATGTGCAAAGCTTACATCGACATTCCTGGAGATGAACATTTCTACAAAACGCGATTAGTAAACATCCGAATGCTCAATTTTGTGACAAAGCAGCATTAAATTTAAGAAAGGTTAAGGCTATCAGCTCTGCATGATTAAAGTATATCTTGTCCTCATCCCTCCGTTTCAGTTCTCAAACTTTTAAACATCAAACCGAACTACAATATACATCATGTCTACTGAAGGAAAATCCGTCTTCTTGACTGGAGGCAGTGGCTTCATAGCTTCTCATATCGTTTCCCTTCTGATTGAGGTATGCTTCCATTTGTTATTATGTAATTCGAAGGGTATCTAACGGAGTTCACAGAATGGGTACAAACCTGTTGCCAGTGTCCGATCCCCTACCAAAGCCACTCAAATTCTCGAACTTCATCCAGAATGGGTGGGAAAGGTCAAGTTTGTATTTGTGCCTGAAATCACAACACCTGGAGCTTTTGACCATGTTCTCAAAGATCAAGCTAAAAAAGGCGGCTTTGATTACATCATTCATACCGCGTCTCCAGTAACATTTGCTGTGAAGGACGTGAAGAAAGACCTGATCGACCCGGCTGTTCACGGGTAATTAAACAAGCCTGCGCACTCTTATGGTCAATCTCTAACATTCACGAAAGCACTACCGAAATTCTCAAAGCTGCTCACGAACTAGGAGGCAAGCAAGTGAAGCGTTTTGTTTTACTTGGTAGTGCTGTGTCCGTTCTTGATTCGTTCGAAGATTTGAATGCTCCTGAAGGGAGACCTTATACCGAAGATGATTGGAACCCTGTCAGATTTCTTGCTCTCACAATATAGCATCGTGGCTAATATTACTTTCAGGCGACTGAGCATGATGCAGTATCGTCTCAAAGCCCTCTCATCGGATACAATTTTGGCAAAAAAAATGCCGAACTAGCGGCTGTAAGTAAGCCCCCTTTCCACCTCCAGGCTAGAACACACATTTTCAAATTGACTCGGTGATCCTTCTTTAACGTTGCTAACACATTTTATGACAGTGGTGCTTCATGAAAGAAAAGAAACCGGCTTTCGAACTTGTTGTGATCAATCCTGATGTAGTCCTCGGCCCTATACTCCAGCCTGTCCCCAGTCCGAAAAATATCAACGAAACGAACGATTTCGCTTGCTATGCTTTCATTAATGGCACCCATGAGACCGTTGGTGATGCCATGTTTGGCTTTTGGGATTTTGTAAGTTCTTTCTTCCTCGGCTATACATACTGCTTCCTCTTGCTGTTCATCAAACTAATAAATGCAAAGGTTGATGTTCGCGATGTGGCTCTTTTACACATCATCGCACTCACCTCCCCTCGTATGGCTAATAAACGTCACATTATCTCCTCGGGTCCTCTCTCGCCCCAGTTGGTTGTGAATGTTATTCGGAATAATTTCCCGGAACTGGAAGGAAGGTTACCGAAAGGCGGTGATGAAAAGGAAGTTTTCCCAAAAGGCCTGCGCCCCACCCAATTGAACAACGCCAGGAGTTTAGAGACAATTCGACAGGTCAAAGGCCAAGATTGGAACTTCAAAAATTTGGAACAATCCATTGTTGGCTCAGTGAAGTCATTGCTTGAGCTGGAGCAGGAATGGGGCTCTCAAGCTGCTCACTGACAACAGAATTCTGAACATTTGAACCATTACGAGAATTTTTGATTTGCTCGACCTATCCCAAATACATTTTTTTGGTTTTCGAAAGCGTTTTGTACAACCTTAGAGCTATATCTATAACATATAGATGGCAACACATTCCTTAGCAAATTGAGAAGTATACATTGTTAATGAAACTCTCTAAAACTATACCCGGCCATTTTTTCTTTGAATACTTAGCTTGCCTCGAGGCAATTTTTGAGGTCTTCGTTAATTTGTCATCATAATGATGACAGCTATGAATTCCATGAATGCGTGATAATAGATGTCAAACAGCGCGCAATTCATCGACCTTGCAGATCAGCAGCAACTGTACCCACAAACCTAATGCAGGAATCCGTTCAACAAAGCTCAGTTAAATTACTGGTTCCGGGTAGCTCATCAACTATCCCCGCGTCGATGATACAGGCCTAGCATTAAAGTTCTTCACAAGACACATGCTGCTACGGCCAAGGTAAAAATCAAATCCAGAGATGCTCAAACCTCCAGTTGAGAAATTTTAGAAGAAAGATGAACAATTGGTATAACGACAAATCAAAGAAAGGTGTCTGATAAGACTCTCGAAGTAATTAGCAAAGTATCCATAAAAGGCTCTCGCAGCTAGATACCAAGGCACACTTTCCAATTGGGAGCGAACACTCTATCGATCAAATCAATCGTCTACTTAGAATTCAATCAACTTAATAAATATAAACTTCTATCTATGAAAGATCTTTATCTATACTTTTTAAATAAATCGTTTTTGCTATTGTATGAATTTCTTTTATGATATATAATATTATTACTTTAGTAATCATTAAAGAATTGAAAATCTTTATGAATATTATCTCTATTAGAACAATTTCTATTATTATATCTCTATTATATATATTAATAAACTTTTACGAATAACTATTATTATAAATTAATCCTAATATAATACGTAATAGTGACATAATTAATAAAATAAATTACTAATATTGAATGGAATATATATCAATATATCTATTTTATGAATTCTAATTATGATCTCTAAAAAATCAATATAATTGAAACTATTGAGATATAGAGTTAAAAGTAGTTACTAATAAATCAGTAAATATAAAAATAGGAATAAATGAAAATATATAATATATATATGATAAAAAGCTTATTTTGAGTTTAATTGGAATTAAAAGTAATAACATTATATAGCTTTTGAAAATTACATAGATAGTTAAAGGTTTTTAAGTAATGAAATAAAGATATAATTGAATAATAGAGACGTTTGTTTGTTGATTTATTTTATTATTAAAAGATTAGTGTTTAAAAATACAATAAAGAATATAGAAAAATCTAAGAAAAATCTAAGAAAAATCTAAGAAAACATAAAAAAACATAAAAAAACATAAAAAACATAAAAAAACATAAAAAAACATAAAAAATATGATATTTAGAAAATTTAGAAATCTAAAATATCTAAAACTTCAGAATTTTTTTTTAAGAAATATACCTGGAAAATCTAGAACCTTAGAAAATTTGAATTTTTTTCAAAAAAAGAAATCTGAAAAGCTATGAAAATTTGAATTTTTTAAGAAATCTTGATATTATTATTAATTTCTATTTAATAATTATAAGTTTGAGATTTATCTTTTATAATAATAATAATAATAATAATAATAATAATAATAATAATAATAATAATAATAATAATAATAATAATAATAATAATAATAATAATAATAATAATAATAATAATAATAATAATACCATTCATTGATATTAAATATAAGCTTTTTCTCAGCCCTTTGTAATTAAAAATAACAACAATCTTACTAATGCTCTCTATAGTTATTTTTAAATCATTCAAGAACTACGCCTATGCTTATACTATATAGCTTTTATATACTTGCTCAGATCAATACAATATCCCAAAATCGAGATATTTTTGTATTTTTGATTTTGTTATATAAAATTAATTCTTTATATTTTTGATAATAAAAAACTATTTAATATAATAATTATT